GGCAGCTGGTTTGTCACGTAGGCTGTCAGTATATTATTAAAATATTTCAGGGACAATTAAGCCATCTCTTGTTTAGCAGAATATAGGCCTCAAGGTTGACTAAAGTTTTACATTTGTGGGCTAGGTTACTGCCTGCAAAATATATATATATATATATATATATATATATATGAAATCTGATTTTTTTTTCCATGTGGAATCTAGAGAAAGAGCTTCAGATGGATGATGAAACAACGTGACACCTCAAACACTCTAGAGAGAGTTTCTGAACCCCTCATTTCTGTGGGCAAATGGCTGTTTGGCACTTCCTCCATGTGGCTTTCCGCTGTGAGAGCAGCCTGCTCGCGTGCTAGCCTAATTGCTTCAATTAGCAAAATTAAATGGCTCATTATGTTTTTATACAATTCCACCCATATTCTGCAGTTTTACTTTAGAATGAGTGATGATACTGTCGAGGCTGTTATTTGAGAGTCTTGCCACGTGCCCATTTTTAGGACAGCAACTAGACAAGACATATGTCAACAAGGAGAGCTCTGCGGTGGCCTGATGCTGCCACCCAGGTGCCTGTGTGAGGAGGAGAGATGCCACTCGAATGAATGCTCAGGGCATTTCATGGCCTGTTACAGGTCTGGACGAGCAGAAATGGGGAATAGAGTGGAATTGCCCAGCCTTGGCCATTTTGAAACACTGGAGCATCAGGTGGGAGAAGGAGTGTTACGAGTCAGAAGCTGACACAAGGCCATCATTTTGATTGTTTTCAAAAATGACATTGGATTGCCGAGACAAAGGAACGCTGATCTGCATTCGTCACTGAAATTACAGGAATGACCACCCAGCCCTGCTATGTTTTCACCATGCACTTCAACCATCCTCTGAGCTATAATCTGAATGACAGTCTGAGCTACTTTTAAAAAGGCTTTAAAGAGTTCTCGTTAGCACATAAAAATGCAGTCGTCTTATCCAAGCTTTATATAGAAACAGCAATGGCTAATAGCAAAGATATGTGGAAAATGCAAGAGAGCGTATATTTAGTCTAGAAAATGGTTCATTAGAAAAAAAATCTCTGGATTCTTGTCTAAACATTGTGTCAGGACTTGTTTCCATTCAACGGCATTTGGTACATTTAAAAGCAAATGTGTACCCTTACACAATCCTGGTAAGGACAGAGAGGTTTCCTTTGCTCAATTCAGTCTGTTCAGAGAAAGAAACTTTGAAATGACACAGAAATATTTTATTCAGCTGTTTAAAAGATGAGATCCTTAAGAAGTGATAAAGCTCATTTGAACTAAGAAGTGCTGAATTATATGTAGGGATTTCCAACTGAAGTTCGAAAGTGTTGGTCTTATACATGGACTGTAAGCTTGGGTTTGTTTTGAAAAAGAAGTGGGAAAATGCTTCTTTTCTAAAAGTCTGTGTGTCAATAACATACCATTTTATATGCATTCGAAAGCAGTATATACTTTATCCTTTTCGTCCCTGTTACTTTAGTTGGAAAGTGTGTGAGGATACATACATATAAATGTATGTACAAAAAGGCATATATTATATATACATATCATTTTTTAAAAAGGCCATTGAGCTTTCAATTATTCTCATGCACAGAAGTAATTGGTCTGTGCAATCACTTCCTTTACTCATAGAGCAAAATAAATTGGGCATTTAGAAATTAACCATAAATAGTTCATTTTACTTTGTAGAGTATCTTGTGCTAATTTTTGGATTACATTTTCGTGCTGTGTCAGTAAGAGAATTTATTAAATTGATTGGGCTAACAGCATTTATTATAAATGAGTAGCAACTAAGTGTCTGCAAAGACGGTGTTACTGAACTAGACAGTACGTAGTTAAGTAAATAAGCAAAGAGGATTTAAAGGACACAGCCATTTTGGGGGACCAAACTTTGACTTTCGTGGAAAAAGTCCTTTTCTTTCACACAGATACTTAAAGTGTTACTATGGTTAAGATATGCATACACACACATTATATATATTAATTAAACATGGTTTCATATTTAGAAATGCAAGTTTGAAAATAAAACAAATTATAATGCTGTTCCTTTAGAAAATTTCTTGTTCCTATGCAAAAAGTGAGTAATAGCAGATCTCCCTCTGAAATGGAATTAAAATGGACTCAGACACGGAAACAAGCCTGCAAATAAGGAACACAGCATTTCCATTTTTTTTTCTTTGGGATTCTCCAGTTACTGTCTGTGGAGGATTTAACGGCAGATTGAAAAGGAAATATTAGAATTATAATATAAATACAAAAATCAAACTCTGTTTCTTTGTACATTGATGATGTCTCTTTAAATCCGAATACTTTAAACTCTCTGTTATCTGTTATCTGTGATTTTCATGTAGAAAATGAGTAAAAGTTGTTATTACCACAACAGTCTGATGGCAGTGTAGTGCTTCCTGAATCATGGAAGCAAGGCTAAATCATGATTTATCTCTAGAGTAAGTTGCTCTTGTAATCTTTTGAAAGGTTGTAATTCATCACACGGTGGATATGTTCTTGCCTGAACAAGAATTCATGCCTAACTAAAACATCATCATCTTCAGGTATGTTGGATAACAGAGTATTTACAGTATTTGGAAAATCACTGAAAAATTCAACTTCCTTACATTCTCCTAACTGCCAACCTCACCTCCAAGTCAAAGAACAGTACACCATTTAAAATTGACATAGTACTCATTCTGACTCTTAACAGAGGGATCAAGTTGAGAAATAACTTAGAACTTACATGATTGAAGCATGATGGGGCCTGTTGGGTTTGTGTTGATTGATTGACTCTACCAGATTGTAATCTGTGATTTACTCATGGAATCAAAGGTATATAGTTCAACTGAGAAACTCAATTTCCAAAGATCATCAGTTAAAAGTTGTCTTGGAAACAATGAAGCTAATAACTCAAGGTTCTGCACAAAAGTGAAGAGTCTGCCAAAATCATCATTTTTTCCTTCTACAATGGGGGCGGAATGTTTTCACCATGTGCTGACAGGAAGAGTCTTTGCTTGGGCCTTTACTGGTGACTACGTAATCTTTCCACATCCCAACAAAAGATTAGTATTTTTTAGTGAAAATCTTGCTTGGAGGATCAAATCATGGAGTATTAGGAAGTATGTCTACTTATAAAAATTGTCTATTTTTTTTTTTTAAATTGCTTTGGGACTTTGCACCAAAAGAAGTCCCAGATTGAGCCCTCTGTTACTTCCTGTGGATGTCATCGTGGGGACACAGTCTCTGGATGACACACCCATTACAGGTGGTAGCTAGAGAACTGGACTACTTTATGGGAATTAGTCCAAATAACTGAATAATTAAGTTAAACTCTTTCTTTTTCTTTTTTAGTGGTTTGACTAATACTTAATCTATCAGTTGGGTTAATATAAAACCAGGGAAGGAAGTTTAAGACATCTTCCACTGTGGTCAGGTTTGTTATAATGGATGGATGAAAGTAATCATTGACATCTTTGATTTCCTGGGAAACATTGGCCAGTCTTGACAAGCCCTTTCTATTTAAGCTGATTCTCTCTTCACCTGATATTCTTATAGCACCCCTGGCCAGGTTCCTGGGGGCACCAACTTGCAAAGTAGGGTGATCTTGCAAGAGACAAATGTTTTCAATCTGCTGAGGCAGGCTGATGGAATTTGTGGACCAGTTTCTGACATCCCAAGTGATTATGATGCTTAAAGTATTTTAAACGATTCCAGGTCTATAAAAAAAGTGATGATGCCTATGTGTATACCCTATATTTTTTATTACAAAAATATTGAAATAATCCATGAGTTATTCCACTCTGCACCAACTATAAAAAAATACTATCAAAGTTTGACCGGCACTTTTAATGCAACGAAAAGCACCATGACGGAGGACGCTGAGAACAGAAAGCAGGGGACGTTTACTTGCTGTACGGAGGTATTTAAAACCCAGAAGCTTGTTGTAAGAGTGCGACTTTACAGATGAGTCAAATACAAATCTTAGCTGGATATAGTGATAAGCCCTCTATCAGTTCAGAAGGGTTTTTTCGTAACCTATTCATTGCATTTGTCTGCTCATACTTACTAAAATGTGTCCCAAAGCCTTTAAAAGACACATCACTTTGACCTTGGATTGAGGGGAGGGAAAGTCTGTACACAGTGGAGAATGTGATTGTTCGTTCTCTTGCCTGCTTTTAGGGGGCTCACGCCACTCATCCTCAGTTGTTTGGGGCTTCCACGTCAGTCCTGTGGTTGGACGGTGTTTGGCACTAGAAAGGAGTGGCATGGCGTCCTCCAGAGTCGTGGTCACACAGAGCCACTCATTCTGCGTCTGGAAACACATCTGGTTCCAGCCCATCCCTCTGGCTCGCGCTGCTCTACTGTGATGTCCCAGTGGGAGCTGCACGTGCCTGGGAATCAGACTCTCATTTAGTCGTTTCCCCACTTCCTCTTTGTAGACCTATTACATTTTTGCAATTGAATACTGAATCATGATTACTATTTAATTTACATCATGAAGTTTTTGAGCTCCTTGGTCTTGTCCAAAGCCGTACGTGGGCTGCATAGGATTTCTGTCAAAAACGATGCTCACAACTGAAAATTTAAAATATAAAACAAATCCTGAAACATGAAGAAAATGAACCATTCCATCAATGCTAACATATGTGTAAACAACATTTGGGTTTGCTGTCCATTGGATAGGATTTTCACACATGGTATGGATTTCCAAATGAGAAAATGGTTTGTGAATTCTTTTCTAAGCAGTACTATTTTTTTTCTCATGGGATATATTCTTTCTTTGTTTTTATATTCCTGTGGGAATCAGAACTTTGCATCAAGAAAAGTCACCTAAGCTATTTTGACAGAGGACTGGTGTTATTTGTGTTAGTGTGTGTATGTGTGCATGAGTGAATCTATTTTTTTGAGACAGAGTTTCGCTCTTGTTGCCCAAACCAGAGTGCAATGGCATGATCTCGGCTGACTGCAACCTCTGCCTCCCGGGTTCAAGCGATTCTCCTGCCTCAGCCTCCAGAGTAGCTGGGATTACAGGCGCATGCCACCATGCCCGGCTAGACTGGATCTATTTTTATGGAAAGATAAGTTAACACCATCAAGACACCCTAATGATTGAAGACAAAATTTTCCATAATAATAGTACCGTCTGGTGGGTGCACCCCAAGACCGTGCAGGAGGAGTCTGGTATTGATGGACAGTCCTATAAGGCAGCGACATTCTTTCAGGTGGAATCAGAGACTCTTGGGCGCAGCTGCTTTGGAAGGAGGCCAGCCGCTCCCAGTCGACAGGATCAAATGATAATGGTGATGACGGTCACACTAGGAACTTCATAGCTCACTGCCCTGCTCTAGGATGAAGTGTCCTTACTGCCACAGCCCCGCTGTCACCCCTTTATCTGGATGTTGTGGCTCCTGCAACTCCTTTTGCTTTATAAAGTGGTTTCGTACTCCAACCGCTCCTGAATAAGGGCATCGTCTTTATACTGCAGCCTCGGAGGAGATGGGGAACATTCAAAGGCTAAAATAGCCTTTCGGAGGCTTCGGTCCAACACATGTCTCTCCCATGCTGGGTACCTATTCCTGAACAAGTCAATTTTAATGACTGATTCTTCAATCCGTGGTGGGCGAGATGATGGGGTGGATGGGGCAGTGGGCCTCACCTGAAAGACGGGTACACACCCATCCCGCTCTGCGAATTTCTGATCGCGGTCGCTGACAACACTGCGGTTGTTGGAGATTGACCGTAGGGTGCTTGTGGCCATTTCTGGGGGCAAAGTGAAGGCAGCGGCTGGGTCCTCACAAGCACAACTTGGTGACTGCCCGAATCTGGGTCCATTGGGATGAAAGAAGGCATAATACATCAGCATAAACACAACGCCAGTTAAAAAGCTGCTGAACACCACACACAGCGCTGGGATGGCAAATGCGTCTGCAATCTGGGGAGCCTTATAGAGGTACCAGAGGGCACTCAAGGCCGTATTTTCCAAAAGGATCACAAAATAGTAAATGAATAACCTGCAGCGTGTCCTGCCCTCCTTGACATTGAACCAACTGAAGATATAGATAATCCCCACCACCATGTCGAACACAATCTCTTCCCATTTGGTGATACAGAATTCTGTCTCACAGTGGACGATCCAGAAGGTCATGATGCACCAGTGAAGGACGATGAAGATCCCAAAGTACAGCTGGAAAACCGAGGCAAAGAGGGCAAACGTGATGACCCTGGCGGCGATGGTGAAAAAGTGCCAGCAGAACTGGATGATGACGGCCATGTAGCTGATGGGCTTCTTGTCATCTCGAGAGTCCCGTAGGGCCTTCTGGTAGGAGGCCAAGGCCCAGGCCAAGGACACGAGGGAGGCTGCCGCTGTGAAACCTACAAAGACAAACGGGAAGACAGTCTGTCAATAGTCAGTTGCAGCAATGCCCCTGAAAGTCATGTCACATAGAGCTGGGGGATTGGGGAAGGCTGGCTTTGACCTCAGCAAAGGCTCTTAATTTCTTTGGGTTTTAACACAGATGGGGATGCTCATATCTGTCTTCTCTAAGGCCCACCCAACTGGAGAAGTCATGAAGCTAATAGCAATGCTACCTGAAGCCAACATGGGTGTGAGACCTGGCAATGGGGTCGAGTTTAAGTTTCTGGATTTGGTGTAAATGAACTAAGGAGGTAGTTTTGTGGAGTGGAAAAATAACCACGGACTGGAGGCTGTCAGAACTGTGTTGGTACTTCAACTTTGCTGCTTATTACCCCCCTGACCTTGGACTATTATTAAAACAGGTATCCTCATTTATAAAGTGGGTGATCTCCAAAGCTCCCTGTCAACTTTGTGATTCCGTGATTGAAGGGTATATGTAATCACAGGAAACCCGAGGAACTAGCTGGTTTATCTTTCTGCTTGTAAGCAAGAATAAATGTAGCGTATTCACAAAAGACAATATATGCGTTCTTTTTTTTTTTTTTTTTTTGAGACGGAGTTTCGCTCTTGTTGCCCAGACTGGAGTGCAATGGCACGATCTCGGCTCACCGCAACCTCCGCCTCCTGGGTTCAGGCAATTCTCCTGCCTCAGCCTCCATGGTAGCTGGGACTACAGGCACGCACCATCATGCCCAGCTAATTTTTGTATTTTTAGTAGAGACGAGGTTTCACCTTGTTGACCAGGATGGTCTCGGTCTCTTGACCTTGTGATCCACCCGCCTCGGCCTCCCAAAGTGCTGGGATTATAGGCGTGAGCCACTGCGCCCGGCCGTATATGAGTTCTTAAAAATAAAAGGCGTCTGTACAGCTTCCCTGGCTACGTTTCTGGTGACGCCTGGCGCGCAGTTTGTCCTAGTGCAATCTGGCACTCTTCCTCCAGGTTTTATCTGTTTCTTACTGCCTTTCGCATAAAAGAAGACATGTCCACTCCCTGTCTTTCATCTCTTAGCTCTTCAGAGATTAAAGATTGTACTGAAATTATTTTTCAATCACTTCTCTAGTTTTATGAATTTATTGGCCCCATTTGGTTGATATTCCCTCTAAAAGGCTTCCAAATGTTAAAAGTTATTTTTTTGTTTGCCTTGACTCTTATTTCACCTCCTCTGTCCCACAGTTCATCTCTATGGTCCAGATGTGGGCAGGGCTCACCTAAAAACACACTGGCCTCCTTTAGGAGAGAGCTCTTGTGGGAAATTCCTCTGTCACCATAACAGTATGCCGCTCTGCATCGCAGCTGGCTTCCTTAATGAGCTGAACCAAGACTCACCAAGATTTGAGAATGCTCTCATGTATTTTAAAGTCTGGATGGCTTTTTCTTCACCAAGTCTATTATTAATCATAACCAGACCCTATTACAGTCTTCCTCTTCTTTTGGAAATAATAGAAGATGTGTGATTGCCAAGAGGTTATAACGGAATTGGTACTTTTTATTCAAAAATATTTTTACAGAGAAGAGCTGTTGTCTTTGATCCTTGAAATATGAAAAGAAAGCACTCTTGTGGAAAAAGACCACACTAATTGACAGAAAAAAATTCCTCCCCAATAATTATTTGATACATCCTCTTTGCGTAAGGTGAACTCCAAAGAACAATTATTGCATTATTCCAACAGCGGTTTCTCATAACTCCTCCCAATAAAGCCAGCAGAACAACCAGACGTGCTACACTGGGACCTTCAGGTTTTGCTTTGCTTTTCTTTTTCTGGCTAGCACAAAAATCTTTCATTGCTGTAAGCACACACAGCTGTGGCGCCATTTCTAGGTCAGTTAGAGACCTGGACACAAAGCAGTTTCTGATCATCTCTAAGCAACAGAAAACATAGACATCAATTATAAAACAAGTTCTGGAGTGAAAAGACGAGGAAAGAGGAAAAGTTTAAAAAATGACAAAAGAAGGTGAGACAAATGCGAAATTTGGTGAGTCAAGGAAAACAATAAAAATAACTTTTAACATTTGGAAGCCCTTTAGAGGGAATACCAACCAAATGGAGCCAATAAATTCATAATTCCTGCACGCCGGCCTCCTTCGGCGCAGCTGGGGCACAGCGCCGCCTTCAGGAAGATAACTGCACTGCCGGTCCGGCTCGCGCCAATCAAAGCGGGGTGTCCACCCGGTGGTCAGAATGGTTCTACCAGTTTGCATAGGAAGACGTTCCTTAAGGCTGCCTTCCAGAGCAGTGAAAAAATAGTATCAAAACTTTGAGTATACAGCATCATGAAATGATCTGCTGTCAGATTTAAAAGAGTAGAAACATTAGCCTCCTTCAAATTTCCCTGTAATCTCTACCCCTTTTACTGAGTGTCCTAAAAGAGTAATTCAGCCTGCGTTTGATACTCCAGGAGCTTGTTAAGATGATATTGTAGCCGTAGAAAAACGAAGGCTTTCTCTGCTCTCCCTATATCTTACAATTAAAACAATCTATACCAAAAGGAAATTTCATGTCCTTGTGACAACCCCCTTTATGAATTCTCTGCTTTAGCAATGAGAATTTCTCTTCTTCCTTTGTTGTTGCTGCTGCTGATGATCATAATGATTTTTTGAGACAAAGTTTCACTCTGTCATCCAGGCTGGAATGCTTCAAGCAATCCTCACGCCCCAGCCTCCTGAGTAGCTGGGGCCACAGGTGTGTGCCACCACGCCAGGCTAAGTTTTGTATTTTTAGAGAGGCCAGGCTGATCTCGAAATTCTAGCTTCAAGTGATCCTCCCGCCTCTGCCTCCCAAAGTGCTAGGATTTTAGGCGTGAGCCACCACACTGGGCCTTCCTTTTGTTATTATTTATTGTTTCGTCTGCTTAACAGTTGATTTTTATAAGACAAATATATACTGAACAGAAAATATAGGATAATATTCGAGTTAAGACCCCTACAACTTCACAACTGTCACAGAACACTTCGTTCTTTTGCTCTTTATACAAATAGTACAAGCTCAGCTTTTTCCAATGCCAAGACAGGCTTCCTCAGCAAGGCATGGCCTTATTCTTAGAGTTCTCTGGAGCTCTGATGTACAGCAGCGCAATGCCAGAACACAGGACTCTGAATACTCCTTTAGCTATTAATGTGTATTTTAAGTTTATATTTGAAAATAATTTCAAACTTACAGAAAAATTATATGAATAAAAATATTATATTAAACATCTATATTTCATTTGCCCCAATTGTCAGCTGGCTTTATAATTGCCCTGTCTCTGTCTCTGTCTCTCATTCATTTGAGATTAAATGCATACATATGGTCCTTTACCCTAAAATACACCAGTGTTTATTTCCTACGAATAGAGGTATGCTTTTACATAACCACATAAACTTCAATCAATTTAACATTGATACAATACTTTAAAAAAAGCCACTATCAGTATTCCAGTTTCACCAATTGACATTAACAATGTCCATTCTGGCCGGGCGCTGTGGCTCACACCTGTAATCCCAGCACTTCGGGAGGCAGAGGTGGCGGATCACAAGGTCAGGAGATGGAGGCCATCTTGGCAAACACGATGAAACCCCGTCTTTTCTAAAATACAAAAAATTAGCTGGGTATAGTGGCGTGTGCCTGTAGTCCCAGCTACTTGGGAGGGTGAGGCCGGGGAATTGATTGAACCTGTTGCAGTGAGCCAGGATTGCACCACTGCACTCCAGCCTGGCGACGAAGCAAGACTCCATCTCAAAAGAAAACAAAACAAAAAAACCAAAAAACCCACCAATGTCCATTCCAAAATTTTTCTCCCTGATACAGAACTGAGTCTAGAATCAGGTATTGCATTTACTTGTTGTATTAATTTAGTTTTCTTTCATCTGGAATATTTCCAGATACCTTCTTTGCCTTTATGACATTAATTTTGTTTGAAGAGTACAGTACTTGAAAAAAAGAAAATGAGGAAAAAAAAGGTGTTTCTCATTTTGGGTTTACCTGCTGCTCCTTCATGGTTATATTCCAAGGCAGGACTATATAAGTGACATTGAACTATGTATATTTTCAGCATCATGAATATACTAAAATATGAAGATTCCTTCAGTGGCCCCAGAAAAAATATATGATGGGTCTACCTTTTTGTTCAAAATAATAAATAGAATATCACTCATGAAAACTTGCTTCTAAGATCAGACTATAAAAACAGCTACAGGGGACTCAAAAGGATTATATGTTATTTCTTAAAATGTGAAAATAGGTGATAAGACCTCAGAGTTTACCTAGGGCAATAATCTTATATTACAGAAAAGAAATTGAGTCTCACTTTGAGAGGTTATCTTCCCTCTCTCCTGCCTTCCACTTATCTTGGGTGAAAATTGTCCTCCATAGCGAACCCTCCTGCTTCCTAGACAAGGGCCCCGTCAGTTAACCTGTCTTTCTCTGGATTCCATCTCCTCCTCTCTAAGAGCTCCTTTCCCGCATCTTACAAACATGTAACAAGGCTCCTTTATCCTGAGAAACCCCATTTGTGTGATTTTTCTCTCTCCTCCTCTTTATTTTAGACGTGTCTCCTGTTTTCCCTCCCGTTGTTTCTCGTTCCCCCCATTTTCATCTGGTTGTCCTTCAGCTACTGACGTTGCTGGGGTTGCCGCCCTTAGTCCTCTTCCCTTCTTGGCCTTTCTCTGAGTGACCTCACTCACTCCATGTCTTGAACCCAGCAGAGGGCAAATGCCCATCTGGACTCCCAGTCTTTCTGAGCCCCAGAACTGTGTATTTGACTGTGAGACTTGAAACCCCATGGGCTTACAATGAAATACCTGGAAGCAACTTGGCTGTAGGTGACAACATTTGCTTTCTCATGGAAAGAACACAGTTCTTCTTCCCTTTATCCCCGCTGTTGCTAGTGTAATGCCCTTCTCAGAACAAGAGGGAACATGAATTTCCACAGAGTCAGCCACAGTTGTAAGAAAAGGATTTTATATGCAGCTTGACTGAA